TTTATAATAGGTAGTAGAATCTAATAATAATAACACCCACCTAGATATAAACCGATTAATATTACTTTTAAGACGAATAAAAAATAAATACAGTTTTGAAAATCGATCACGATCGGAGTAGAAGTTAGTCGCTAGACACAAATAAAAATACGCAATGGAAAAGTTTTGTACGAAAGCATAGATTTGTCTTATCTTATTATCTTAACATTTGAAGGTAAACCTAACAAAAACATCGTAATTAGGTATGTTATTACTACTTATTACCTGCTGGTATTATTAAAGGAATAGAAAAATGTGGGCTCGACCGGAGTGATGCCACGGCCTCACAAAAAACCGGCGTGAAACCGGAAGCCCAACCTTAAAAGTCAGTCAAGTCTGGCTTAAAAAGGGGTAGGTATGTACCTGCGATAACAATCAGCAGCCCAGTAATTCCCTAAGATTTAGATTTATAAATGTTAAAAATAATAGAATGTAGCGTTCGATATGCTAATGTCTTAATGAGTCTGTAGCGACATCTATCGCACAACAAGAACAATAGCACCAATCACGTACAAAAGTCTACATCGCGCTATAGAAAGTTCTCATCGCAATTAGAACATATACAAAAATCCCGACAACAACAGTCGGGCAGTAGCCCACCAGGCACGAACACCTCGCCTGGTCGGAGGATCCTCCCTTTTCAATGGAGGATGAGGAACTTTCCACCCTGTTCCTCATACCCCTAAAAGTATAATTGGAATATTTTCTAATGACCTATCTCTTTAGGAGGCATGATGCTGTATTATTTATAACTTTTTAAGAAAATAAAATTAATGTAACTAAGCCGTTACTTGGCACCAACTATCACGTGATGCTCATGTTCATTGCTCATCACAAGTCGTACCCCCAACGGCCTGTTATCATTAAGACTTCTCTTTGTAGACAGGGCAGAACGATAACCCCACGCAAAATATTCCGATACTAAAAGCAATTAGGTAAGTTACACAGTTAGTAATTTAATTATTTTTATTGTTTTTAAGTAGGCAAGTCGATAACAAGGCAAAAATAAAATGTGTGTACTTAACTTTTGAACTTGTTTTTATTTAAGGTACCTACATAATCATATTATAGGTATATCTACCTATTAGGTAGGTAGGTGTGTCATTGTGTGATTGTGTGGTTGCTACGCTACATTACCGACTTAGGTCGACTCATAAAGTAAATATCCTGGATTTTTACTTTATGGATCTACTCAAACAGGTAATCGCCATGCTCCGTCATCTCCCACTTTGCGATCATCATCATTATCAGCCGGAAAACGTCCACTGCTGGACAAAGGCCTCCCCCTTATTCCCCACTGGGTACATAACATAGGTAGGTACATTATTCTCATAAATTTAGTACGTAGTCTTTATATCTTCCTCTATCACCATCTAAAACTCATGATACTTAATTATGGTATGTACGATGATGACAATAGGCACTCACACCAGAGTTTTCAATTTCTCATCAGTACCAAATTATTACCCTATTTTTGAACGAAAGTCATTCAGTCAGTTCAACGAAATGCCAAAATGATAACATGTCAATTTGCATAGTAAGTTTTCTGTTACTAATAGGTATGCAACATGTCAAAAAAGAAGATTTCCCATTGGCTGAATTAGTGACTAAATCAGCTGATTCTGACGTATTGTAAAATTATTAGAGAAGAACAAACTAGATTTTGGTCCTGTATCTCTGACAGAGTGTTGTAAACATGGTACAGGATTTTTAGATCTTATCTATACCTTAAACTCATGTTATCAGTTGACAATCTATTTTATTAATAATGATTAGTCACCATGAAGTTATAAGCAAACATTTGGAACGTTGCACAAGTGCTTATCTAAGCGCCAAAACACATAAAAATGTATGTGAGGTTACGGCGTAATACTAATTATAATTGGTAAATAAATATGTCGCAATCGGCATCGACGTTTTCTAATGGATGGGCGATCGACACTGCGCCTGACCTGAAGAACTCCAGTGATAAGGACGTAAGTGGCCCCCTGCCGAGTTGTTTGTCTCATCGATAATGCGTCCTCTATGACCTTATCAGGACGAAGTTGCGTGTTTTTATTACATTTTGTTTATATAATTTGAGTATTTTGCTGTAGATGAGAAACTTGACCAGAAGTCCAAATATTTGAAACTAGTTGTAGTTTTACAGTAGGTAATATTATTTTAAAATTATCTACGCTTATTTAGTACTAGTAATGCCAGCTATCTGCCTCTTTTTCTTGGATATTTGTTTGATGTGTGAATACTTTAAGCCTAAATTATACCTTCCTAAATCGAAAACTAGGTAAGTACCATGAAACGAAATCCGCTTCAGGTGATAGTGATCATCCAAAACAGTTCTGTGTATCACAATCACAAACACAATGTCTATAGACAATAAAACAAGTTAAAAAAGTCCAGCAGTAATCTTGATTAATTGGCATATTTTGTAATGAACATGGAATTATTTTTAATCTTGGGTTATTTTTAAGTTAATTACTGTCTGGAATGATATCTCATAGGTAATATTGATTAGTGATTACTATTATAATTTAGGTATCACTTATGAAATAGTAATAATAATAGTTATACGAAAAATTGTTCTAGTAAATATGGTCTTAATATGTTGTGTAACATTAAACAATGGAATACTTAATTTATTCATAGTCAGACTTATAGTAAAGCATACAGTTTGTCTTTCATTAGACAACTGACAAATACAAATATTAAAATAGAGTTATAAGTGGTATTCTTGTACTATTTATTTACCGCTTAACTTTAAAATATAACATGAATATTGCTACCCTAGAAGACTGACCGACAGACTCACTCTTTTTATCTTAAATTATTTTGTTTGATGTTCAAAAGTACTTTAATGGATTAATAAAAAATAATAATTGGTTGGTGTTTGTTTATACAGTAACAGACATGCACTTTATAAATAGATTTAAATTAAAACAATCTTTCAAACATGATCAGTGAAATTGTAAAATAAGTATTTATTAAGAGATCAAGAGAGTATTTCCATTATTTTTAATTCATATTTATTAAAATTATTAAATTTAATACTTGTGGTTATATCTTACTGTAAAGGCCTATATTGGCTTCCAATCTGATAAGAACAATGACCACAGTGTCATGCGCCTGACCCTTGATCTTCGTCTTTATTTGTTTAGACCATTTTGATGATTTCACTATCAGACCATATTTAAACAAGAACTTAATTGTCTGCAAGATACAAGGATGGTCTCTTTTAATATTAACTATTTCTTCTGTTAATTTAAATTGGTTTGTAAATGATGTGGTCCTAGTATAGTTCGCAAAAAAAATATAAAAGAAAGTTTAACTGGTTTACAGTCTAAATACATAATATTATATCATAAATTACCTGACATTTAAACCACTAGGTGTAAGATTGTAGTCAATTTCACATTTTATATATCCAAAATAAAACCAAATATATGTTATTTTTTCAATATTATTTGATTACACTTCACAATAGGTATGCCACTGAATCACCACATAATTAAATTTATACACCACACAATTAGTCACCTCACACAGCAAGACTATCTGTGTCTCTCTAAAAGACTTCCTTCACATAAACCTTAGCATAAAGTGCATTACATTCATTGTAGTGGGTAGTATATTACTATTGCTTGTCTATTAATAATATAATATTGTACTTGTTTCAAAACAAACCAAAGTACAAAATTAATTTTGGTCCTGAAATACTTCCTTGAGGAACACCACGCAGGTTACTAATATGACTAAATGATTTTGATGTATTAGTTGCACGGAATTGCATGTAAGTTAGTTAGTTCAAAGGTGGACTCCTTTGAACTAACTCTCGACTCATTTACATTGCACTACCTAAGGAATTTAAATTCTAGGTTCATTCAACTCTAATAACTATGTTGTTAAGCATTCAAAACCTATTTTTAATGTGTTGTGCGTAATATTATTAAAACGGTATTGGTATTTAAATAAAATAACTAAACTGTTCAAAATTGAATAACATGATCCTATTTGATATTAACCACCATGAATATTCCACATTTGTAATTTATGAGAAGAACTTGCAACGCGGTTAAGACCGCATAGAAAATTTAGTACATTTTAAGTATTGTTATTACTTAGCATTGATTTAGATACTTACCAAAATTCAATTGGCTTTACCTTTAAAAGATAAATTAATTCATTTATATTATTGACAGTATGCTACAGTCGAGTTCTGTTCCAATCACCCCTACTTTATTCCAGAATTTATAATACCCCACACCAACTTGAAGTTATCATGAATAAATATTATACGTATGTTACGTAGTCAGAACTTGTTTTTCATGTATGTACGCACGAGCTATAAATAACTATATTTTCAAGATAATTATCTATAAAGTAGTGTCACTTAGATAATTATTGCACGCCTCTTTTTATTAGTACTCGTACATGCCCACAAAATCTATATAAATGGGCTGGCGTCCATGTATTCGCAGTTATTTCTGTTTGAGTGCGTTGATGTTACATTGTAGTGTGTTTTGTGATGGTTAACAATTTAAGCGTTACTTTCGGCGATTTTGTCTCCGTGAGTTTTTATTTTTTCTTCATTTGTGTATGTTTTAGTTTAAAACTCTCATATTTTTATACGCTCACCATGACAATTGGTAACTTGAACAGAATTGAATTGTGTAATGTAATGTGTTCCAGAATTATCGTTTGTGACAATATCCAGTAAATTAAAGTTTTTTTGGACTGGCTTAACTATGTTGAAAATTACATTATCCTGCTTATTAGTGGCGACCCTACACTATCGCAGCTTCTCATTACCCCCTAGTCAGTAGGCACGGATACTTATTATCATGTGGGGTGGCGATCGCGACCTTCCACCTCGCTCACCCGCGATGCCTACGTCCCTCGTCTGCCGCTGATAACGGCTAATATAAATGATCGCTTATTATCGCCCCGCACTATAATCGTTCAGTGTCCGTACGTCTGCTCACAAGTGTGCACGTTCAACGCATCACTAAGCTTCGTTTACCTCAATCCGCGCAATTTAGTTGTGTCACTGTATAAAATTGTTCCGTTTTAATATTCCTCATGGCTAAGTTCGTCGACCGTGATTTTCTTTCTCCCTATTAAGTTAATCAAGTGTCTCTGAAAGTGGACTTGAAAGTGCTTGAAACTCTCTGTGAACGCAATACACGCGTTGTCTTCGTTTCTTTTAAAATTCGCAGTGGCACCAGCATACATGCATATTTCGAGCGAGCTGTTGCAAAAAATGACCATTGTTCTGATGTACCGCATCAACCCTATCTACTATTCAGACTACTCGGATACGATTTAGGTTTTTACCTGAAATTTTATCGTCTCAAAAGCTATCTCTGTCATTGGCTATATCATTTCGAATACTACAAGTTTGGAATATATTCTAAAGACATCACCTGACAAAGGATATTTTATTTTCAATAAAGAAGGATTTGACTGTAAACCAGAATGGATATTGTGGCAAACGTAAGTTTTAAAGCTGTTCAATTTTGTTATAGTCTCATTTTATCACGAAGTTAACTCATCCAAGACTCGTGGGAGGATCAAAGTTTATCGTATTCTTCTGACTGTTCGAACTTATAACGTTAATAGAGATAATATTAATGTTCACAGTACCACCCGGTGTTCAAGGCATTCCTCGCCGGTTCCTTCTCTGGTACCTTCAGCGCTGTACTATTCCAGCCGCTTGACTTGGTGAAGACTCGTCTACAGAACCCAACTCAACATGTTGTTGCGGCGACTGTCAAGTAAGTTACATCTTCATATTATAGATATTTAACTACTGTACGTATTAACACTTAGTTACCTCCCCGCTTAACAACAATCAAAAGGCTGTCGTATAGCAACAAATAATAATCACTAACGAATAGAAAAACAACTTGAAAAATAGATTACAACAGCCAGTATTTGAAGACAGTTATCTTGTTGCTACGAAACAAAGTGTAGGTAGGTACGAGCCAACGACTGATTAAGCCTTTATTAATTTGTTTTGTAAATGTTACTCTGCCTTAATAATGAGATAATTATCGAGTAATTATTACTAACGCGGACTATATCCTTAACATTGACATTGTTAGTGTCTGCTAATCGTCTGTATGCGATACAACACGCTTCCCTAAACTGCTAATGACCTATTATCATTTTCCGTGTTAAATATTCACAAATATTAACGTCAGTTTAACATATTTTATCTGTTTGTTTATTATTATTTGTAATTATACCAATCATATTTGAAATGATTCAGATTTTAATTAGTTTAGTGTCTTGTTATCTTATTTCTCTTAAATACGTATCTCTAGGGGCGCACTGTTGCGACCCAGGCGCGTGCAAAATGGCGAGATATTGAAAACATACTACATGTCGCTCATAGTTAGCAATTAATCGATGATAAACAAATGGTTTTGTTTACTCTTTACTTTCACCCAACCACAAAGATTATCTGTTTATAAAAACTGCGCATAAGTTTGTCTTTTAGTAATAAATTACCATAGATTTTTTGTATACATGGATGGGCCCCAGTGTGTGCCTTGAGGTACGCCTTTAGTGTTTTGTATTTGACTTCGATTAGATGTCATTATAATAATATTGTTTCATTTAACAGCAGCCGAATCCAACCCGGGATGATGACAATCTTTACGAACATCATACGACAGGAACAAATTGTGGGACTATGGAGGGGCATGGTTCCTTCCATCGCTCGTTGTGTTCCTGGCGTGGGAATCTACTTCTCCTCTCTGCACTGGTTGAAAGCCAAGATGGGCAAAACGAATGGCGACTTGGGCGCCTTGGAAGCAATCATGTTGGGGGTCGTTGCAAGAACCATGAGTGGCGTTGCTTTAATACCCATTACTGTGATCAAAACTAGGTGAGTTTACCTTGAAAATAATTCTTTAGTTTTTTAACTCTAAAGTTGATAAGAAGGAGCTATGACACAAAATAATAATATAATCGCTATGGATACTAGCAATTAAAGCAGACGACTAGTTTATCTGTATCCATGCTACACTACATTATCTCTAAAAACACAATGCGAAAAATGTTTTAATTGCCTTTGAAACGGTTTGTTCCATGACGCAGATGATTACTGAATTCAATCGAAAGGTTGGGCTGTGTCGTCATATCAAAGATATTTATGAGCCCACCTTCATTATTGAGCACTTTTTAATCAGTAAGCGTCGAAATAATTATCCGTTCATTGTCTTCGATTGTGTAGGTATCTGATTAAATGCTGGGTTGTGAATGTAGGTACTTACACGTTATAGAACGCGTGGTCAGGTCACCTGTGACAATAGCTATGGTAATTCGAGGTTACCGCGCAGTCGTAGTTACTGCGCTGTTGTCTGTTTTTGCTGATTCAGTAGACAACTTACCTCACATCCGGAAAATGTCAAAATATAAATAGGTACGCAAGTATCCCGATCTCGTCCATACAGTTATCAACGATCTGTCGACTCCAGAACTATTAGTATTTACATCTAAATAATATTGTTCCGTATTTCTTCCTCAGATATGAATCTGGGGTGTACAAATACAACAGCTTGGGTGGTGCTCTGAAGGCCATTTACAAAGCGGAAGGCATCCGAGGCCTTTCCTGTGGTCTGGGCCCAACCCTAGCCAGAGATGCACCTTTCTCTGGCCTGTACCTCATGTTTTATTCGCAAACCAAGCAAAGTGTACCTAAAGGTAAGATATTCTATTTGGTCCTTTGCTTAGAAAAAGGACCAACTTTGCTGCTAAAGTCAACTTTTGAAAAGCAGTAAAATTGGTTCTTTATTCAACACTAGCTAGTCTCGCGCGGTTTCACCCGCTGCTGGGCTCCATTTAATCCTAGCGTGATGTTTTATAGCCTATAGCACTCAGGAATATTGTAGCTATCTATCAGTGAAAGAATTTTGGCAATCCGACCAGTGGTTCCAAAGATAACCCTTTACATACAAACTTCCAAACTTTTACCTCTTTATAATATTAGTATAGATATTCGATATATATTTTTATGAACTCGTGAATGATATGGAGGCTCGTTATCAAAGCATTAGAGACGAAAAATTGTGGGTTAATAACTATTCTAAATACGTTGATAAAGTTTTTAAGTACTTATTGATAAAAAGGTCGCGCGATCCTTCTTCGTGTGAATAAAACTGATGTTTCAATATTATTTATCTGTAGACTGTAGTTGTTGCGTAATTTTAGACATTGTAGTTACATATGTATGTACCTAGCTTTTGAACTGTATTACATTAACATTAGTTAGTTAAAATGCACTTTATAACTAATATTTACTTTCTTAATGATTACAAACTTTAAACGCGTGTTCTGATCACGTTTATGTAAGTCCAAAGAGTCCAAACTAAGTAGGTATGTTATAATATGTCAATGCATTTTGTTACAATTGAAATAATTAATATTATGTGTTAGGTTTCTGAACTGATTATTAATATTAGTAGTGAGAGAGAAATCATGTAGATAACTATAAACAAGAAATACAAATCGAAAACTATTTTCATAAAAAACTTTTGCTAAATTGTGTCATGTTTTTTGTAAGTAGGATAGTAGCGTAAACTGGCGCTTGTTTTTCTGGAATAGTCATTACAAACACGTTGCGATTAATACCTCGATAACAAATTAATCTCTGATAAATAATTGTTATCGTGTACTGTAGTGAAACGCGTCAGCAAATGTGTTTTTGTTTGTCGGTCTTTAGCATTAAATTTTATTGAAATCTAATCTTCTTTGATATTAATTTGAAATACGTAATTGGCGTCAACCTTAGCACATCCACATTATCAGTGTCCGCATTTTTGAAAAGTTAATTTGACAAAAACATAGTGACTAATTGTTTTTTTTTTTTGTAAACACCTGACTTTCCTTCTTACAAAATATTCTAGTTGGATAGGTGAATAGATTGGACATTTTTAAATACTTACTTATTTATTTTGTACTCAGGTTATAATCTGCACAGTTATTCTGTAATAAGGTTTAACTCAATACAAAGACAATACCTATTGTTACATATTTACAGCTGTGGTTTTCAATGATTTCATGTCTTGTGATCACTGATAGGTTGGCTACTAAGCCAAATATTGGTTGCCTTCCTGTTACTGTAGAGAAAGTAAACAGAGGTATTCAAACATTATTTTGATTCTAAATACAAAATATCTGTACAGACTCTTTAGTGTCATAAGTATATGTATTGTATAGGTACCTACATACTTAAATACGAAGTGTGCCATGACGTAGTATATCGCGCCATGTTTTAATATTTAGTTTTGTTATAAAAATCTCTTACGTCAATACAACAAAATAGGGCTATGAAATTTACGCGTATTCACAATGTTTTATAAACAACGCTACGTATGTGACATACAATCGCGTCAATTCAAACTTAGTGCTAAATATTGATAAAGATAAGAGATACATTAATGAAATTCAATAAACTAGAGCCTACTTGGGTATTTAACCTTACAATAGTATCTAATATTTATGTAAGCATGCGTTTCTTTTGTATTGCTAGTCGTGAAAACCTATAGTAGGTACCTAATTGGCTTTCTGTAACTTCTTACTAGAATTGCATATCCAGCAGTTGGTTTTCAATGTGTTCAATAATTAAATAAATTAATAGACAATTTATCATAGAAATAAATATGAGTAGGTACTGGCTTCTTGATATTACATTTAGTTATAGATAATAGGTACCTACTAGCTTGAGTCAATAGAATTACTTTTACAATAATAGTAGGCAAGTCTTGAAAATAATTCATTATTATTAAAATATTAATTCACAAGAACCTAGGTCTTATTTCATCATGTAGTTTCAAGATAATTGAAAGAAGTTTAGTCTGTTACAATACCTACTTTAATAATTGATCTCAGCTATTGAAGCAATTAACCATGGTTTATTCATGTTTGCAGAATGGATGCAGTCACCTAGCGCAGCCAGTGCCATCCATTTCAGCTGCGGGATAGTAGCCGGGATCGCTGCTTCTCTGGTCACCAACCCAGCTGATGTGCTCAAGACCAACATGCAGTTGTACCCTGACAAGTTCCCGAACGCATTCAGCGCCGCTGTATATGTACATCAGGTAAGACAAATTTATTTTTAACTTTATTAACTTAGTCATTAAGGTAAAAATTGCAATACTCGGGGCCATTAAGGTAAAAATTGCAATACTCGGGGCTGATTTTTCAATAGTCAGATAAATGTTATCTGAGGAATAAAATTGTTGCTGTCACTGTCTTATACAAACATTCTGCCGCGACAGCATCATAATTATTTCCTAGGTAACTTTAATCTAACTTATCTAACCATTGAAAAATCAGCCCTTAGTGATAAAGTTAAAAAAGTAGGTACTTATATTTTTAAAGGAGGTGTAGTTTTCACCGTCAAATAACTCATTTGTCTATGTGAAAGAGAGAGATAAGCATAGTTTTCTAACTTCAAATTCAGATTTAACTTTGGAAGTTCACAAACATTATTCGAAATTTTATTAATGTGTCATAAAAAGTTTTTATATCTGTATATTAACAAAATGTAGATGTTTGAAAACAGTTATTTGTATAGATAAGTAAGTGCTAAAGTCCGTATGGGTCAAATTAAAACACCAGTGATAGCCAGGTGATGACACATCGAAAGATGTTGTAATTAAACAGATAGGTATTTTGGAGGTTAATAAAAACTTAATCACCAATTGCTTTTGTCAAATGTCAAAGGTTTTTTTTAAATGTGATAAGTTAAGCAGGAAAATTTTACAAACATTTCAATAAACTTTAAGTAGAGTGTCGATTGTTTATGTTACCGCGTTTAGACCTCTGATTGGGTCAGCCGGTGTTGCGGGGCAAGCAACGCAATAAAGGACCGCAACCTCAGCCGAGCAGTAGAAGGAACGGGGTAGTTTTTAGAGAGAAACAGTATGACACTCCTTCTCATCTACCCTAGAAGAGATTAATTTGATGATTCCCCCTAAAAATTCTCTCTGCCTCTTATTGGTTGGTTAAATTTGATTTGGCCAATCAGAGCGCCGAACGTTTTATATGTTTGCTTCTGTTTGCATTCATGTTAAGCAAACTCACACTAGGCATGCCAGTAGGTAGTATGACGATTTGCTAAAATTTTCAGTGCATATTAATTTGTAAAATTATGTGCATATCTATTCAGGACATCTAGGTATACGAGTGAATAGCTATTAAACTCTGTCGGTTTATATAAAAGTCAGCTAACAAGGCAAACCCTATCTGGTATTAATTATTCAGATAAGCAGCGATCACGGGGGTCGTTTATTTTTTTTTTATAATTAGGTGTATCTGTCACCCAGACGTCGCGTGTTGTAAGGTTCACGTAATGTCAAGTTCGCATATATATTTTTTTTTACTAATTGTTGGAATCTTTAATTGAGGGCAACCGGATCATCAATGTTGTTTAATTTTTGCATCATTATGACACATGTTACAATTAATAATGATTAATATTTTACACAGGTGCATGTTTTAAATAGCTGTGTTCCTTTTCCTTTAATTATACCTAATAATGATTGAAAAAGTATTTATTATTATAAATTCGTTTTTACATCGGAACTTTTTTGTTAAATGAGAATTTAATATCTGATTCTACTGGTGTGAGCAAAGCTCCATGTGAAAGCTTACTTGATTTCAAGGCTTTCTTTTAAAATATTTACTTATGTTATTAATGTAAAATATTTTATAATCTGTGTTGCCACCTATTTGACTTCTTTATATTTCATATCACTTATCAACTTTTACAAGTAAATGAAATAACATTGTTTAATTGCAAATACTTGTACTGAGAAGTTGTTGACCAAGAAAATGTAATGAATTACCTACTGAGAGTACTGATAAATAAATGAATGTTGCCTTTATCTACAAGTGAAGGACAAGTAATGCCCTCTATCGACTATTGACGTGATTGATTGAAAAAAATGTTGACTCAGAAGAAAATTTTTTCTCATCTAGATAATAATGTTATTTATATGTTTATATGCTGACTAAAATAAAATTAATTCATCTGAGCAACAGCTGGGACTTAAACACTCAACTAGTTAAAAGTACCTATTTACTTCTTTACATATAAAATGTATATTTTTGAGTTAGGTAGGTTGTTGTTTGGCGCCGAAATCCGACGCTAACGCCATCTAGGTACTCGGAAGCGCATTAAAATTTTTAACATGTAATGGTGCGTTAACATTTTGATATTCTAATCTTTGTTTTAATGTACATAGGTATTCATTTATGTGTTTCTTTGTTACAGACATACGGTGTAAAAGGTTACTTCAGGGGTGCTGTGCCTAGAATGTTGCGTCGCACATTAATGGCTGCGATGGCGTGGACCGTCTTCGAAGAAGTTACTAGAACAATAGGCTTGAAATGAGATTCTACGTCAATCAACCATATTTTAAATTAGGCTGTTCACGAAGTCGTTTTGCTTGATATTATTGGTACGATGTTCCTAGTTTTTTCATCGTTTAGTTGTATCGTGTTTTTTCGAATATTATCTGTGCTTTAATTTTAGTATACTAACGTTTTTTTAGGTTTAGTAACCAATTGTGATATGAATGTATTCAATTTCATTGTTAACCATATTTATTAGGTAATTCAATGTATATCAGATATCTAGTTAGTACGACAAAATTTTATTGTATAGAGGATTTTATAGACTATTTTTGTACACGTGCTTCGATTCTGCATTTCTGCTAGCACAAACTACATATTACATCTATACCTACAATCACCATACATCATGGAAATGGTAGGCATTCTTCATCTATCTCTTGAAAGATGTTGAAGTACCTACATGTGTTAAAAAGTATTTTTGGTTTGTTTTAAAGAACCATGGCCATTGTACTAAATGTAATTTAACTATGTGCCTATTTTGTTATATTTAAATAAATAAATATTTAATCAAAGAATTGTTTTTAATCTGCTCGGGTAGAATGTATTTGTGCTCTTTACCTCAGCTACTTATGACGAACTACACAAACATAATTGCAAAAATAAATATTTTTGACTATCACCTTAATAACAATAATATGTTGTTTAAAAAAAATTACCCAAAGAACAATGAAACACAAAATAACGAAATTATAGTATAATTTACATATTTACAAATATGATTTTATTTATAAAATTTTCTATTATCTATGACACTATCATATAAACTCTAGTCCTTCATACTTGAGGTTTTCCACAAGCGTGTCGTGTAGTAACACTGTGCCGTCGGTTGTAAATGCTGTTATATAGGTGGCGGTCTTGCCCTCAAATTCTGTGGTCTTCAAAGCTACAATGGCCTCATCATTAGTTCCCGGTATGAACTTGAATGATGAAAAACCATGCTTTGGTTGGTGCTTTGTTATCTGAAAAATATAGCGAAGCTGAATAAATTGATACATAGAATCACAGCTTTAAAAATTTCCCTCTACAATATTTTGTAAACTTGGAAATTATTACTAAACATACTCCAGTCCCTTTTATATATAACTATTTGGGTTATAAGGCATTCATTATAACTTACTATGTTTGTATTTTAACTGTGTCATAATACTATATTAGATTTAAATGCGTATAACACAGATACAATACACAAGTCTATTACCAATGTTACAGTGTATACGTATTATTGCTCAAGGCCGGGTATTACGGAACGATACAAAAGGATAACAGCTGAATAAACAATACACAGTACAGCACTCTGCGTGTTCAATACAATAACGCGTTCAGGATGCTCTTGGGGCTGCCTCGCTTCTGTAGCGCGTCGGGTATGTTTGCCAATGCTTCTACACAATCATGCGCAAGTGTTGTACGTCATTGGTGAACAGGTTGCGGGGAAGCCGCAACAGTATCCTGAGCGCCTTTACTGAACGGTTTGACTGTCAGTACATGAACCACTGTTGTATAGTTCATGTACTAGCTAATGTGAAAATCTTGTTTTAAGTGATGTTGATTATTTTCAATGTGTAATAATAAAAATGTTCTGAATAATGCTTCTAGTAATCAAATACAAATTTATGGACTAGCTTCTTAGCTTATATGATTCTAATATTGTTTTTAATGGACAACTAGACTTTTATTACAGGATTTTAATTTCTAAAATAGCTTACCTCAAGAGCATGAACATGTTTGAAATTCTCATCAGCAGTAATTAAGTAATTGCAACCCATAACTTCATCCTTGGTCTCATTGTATGGTTCATGGCTACATCTCCTTGGTAAAAAGTGCCATAATTGCTTAACAGGGGACCAGACTCCTGATTCATGGATCATGTAGCCCGGCCAATGGATACCAATTGAACTGCGCACAGCTTTGTATTGATTTACCCAACTTAAATGCTGGATCTGTGAAAAGAAAACTAATGAAAAAAAGACATAGGATTATACTTTTTGCGTAGTTTAGATTGTTTGAATTAAATTAGTACTTTATATATTTAAATTAGCTCTAATACGAGATAGCATAAGGAAAGATAGAAAACATAACAGAATGGAAAAAATAGAGAGATGTATAATAAAATCGGGTGGCGTTAAGAAAGCATATAAGGAAATAAAGGATTCAATGGATTGGATAGTTAAAATGAAAAATGATCGCGGAAACTGGAAACATCGCCGAACTGATATACTGACAATAGCAACTTCATATTATAAGAAATTATACGAAGCCAAAACACCAAAAAACAAAATTGATTTATCAGAACCATCAAGTGTTCCGAGTATTCTTAAAACTGAAGTCGAGAAAGCTATTGACACACAAAAGGTTGACAAGACACCAGGTCCAGATGGCATTAGTAACGAGATCTTACAACAAGGCAAACATGTTTTAATACCTGCGCTCACAGATATCTTCAACAACATCTTAAACACCGAAATAATTCCTCAGCAATGGACTATCGAATATTATATTGCTTTATAAGAAGGGAGACAAACATGAAATAGGAAATTATCGCCCTATCAGTCTTATGTCCAACATATACAAAATTTTCGCAAAAATAATTTTGAAACGAACCGAAGGCACACTGGACTATCACCAACCTATTGAACAGGCTGGATTTCGCAGGGGCTACTCTGTAATTGATCACATTCACGTAGTCCGACAAATTCTAGAGAAGTGTAGCGAATATCAGCTTATATACTATATTGCTTTCATTGACTACAGTAAGGCCTTCGATTCTTTGATACATGAAAATATTTGGGAAGCTTTAAAGGAGCAACGGATTGAACATAATTATACATTCGTCTTATAAAGAACATACAGTATACAGTCACAGCACCACTAGAGTCCAGTTAGAGAAGAAAGGCAGCGCATTTAAAATAGGAAAAGGTGTTAGACAGGGAGACCCCCTATCGCCTAAATTATTCTCCGCTGTACTTGAATCAGTTTTCAGGCGACTCAGTTGGGAAAGTTTGGGGATTAATGTTGACGGTATGTTGCTTACACATCTGAGGTTCGCTGATGACATAGTCCTATTTGCCAGAACATCTGAAGAAATCAATAGAATGATAGAAGACCTTGCGGTTGAAAGCGAAAAGGTAGGACTAAAACTCAACCTGGAAAAAACAAGACTGATGACAAATGGAAAGAAGACCCCAGTAACGTTGGAAAACTCAGAAATAAACTACTCTGATGAATACATTTATCTTGGTCAGGTCATAACACAAAAGGAACCTATGCGCGCGGAAGTAAAAAGGAGAATTACAAACGGTTGGAAAAGATACTGGAGCTTAAAAGAAGTTATGAAAGACAAAACACTTCATATCACTATCAAAAGAAAACTGTTCAATACTTGTATACTACCTGTTCTCACATATGGCTGCCAATCATGGACTATAACTCAAGAATTGACAAGCCAGCTTACAACCTGCCAACACGCTATGGAGAGGAGTATGCTGAGTATCAAGAGGTCAGACAGAGTAAAAAACTAAAACCACAGATGTTACACTGAAAATCAAAAGACTCAAATGGAGATGGGCAGGCCACATGATAAGAGGTCATGATAAATGGAGTAAAAAAGTAACAGTATGGCAACCAAGGGAAGGGAAAAGGAAAAGAGGGAGGCCGCAAAAACGATGGGACGATGACATCAAAGAGGTAGCGGGTGTGACGTGGAACAGAGTGGCTCAAGTAAGGACAGAGTGGAAAAGGTTGGAGGAGGCCTTTGCCGATTGGCAAACAGATCTGCAAAAGATCACCAAACAACAAATAATAGACTAATTCCAAACATTAATAAAAAAAAAATTCTTTGTGTAATAATATGTAAATGTAACATTATGTAAGTTAAGGATCTGAATAAAAGGCTATATTATAGCTCTAATACATTGCTTCTTTGAGGCATTCAAAGTTATATTTCAAAAAAAAACTAGTCCAACACCAGTATTATTTCTTGTTTCACATATAAACGGAACCAATTACTTTTTGATTTAGTTAAACTTATTTTCAAACATGCGAGTCATTAATGAACTCCTTCTTAACGCAAACTATCAATGTGATTAATTATGAGAAATCTTGTATTTGTAAACAAACTGGAGAAAATCTATCAAATCAGGACTGTTTCTCTTTTCTTATAAGTTAATTTAAATTTGCCGCCTATACTAAGTGATTATCTTAACTAATAAATAACACATTTTATGATAAATATTGATAACCTCATGGATTGAGCAAACCTTGCTGATAAGATTATTAAATATACTTCTGCTACTGAACATGAATTACAGTAATGTAATATTAAGTCTTGAGCACAAATATTATTGTATTTCCTACTTTAATTCTTCAAACTATGACAAATATCCTTCTTGTTATTGGAAATGCAATATAAAAATAAAATATACTATGTAATAGTAACCATTGTGCTAAAAATTCAAAATATGAAACTCTAAAATAAATTCACAAGAACTTACATAACGGTGGATTTAAGTGAATTTTCTATTCTATATCTAAAAACAGACAATTTAAATTCACTGAATATATAAAATGTTCAACATATAGGAACATTATCTACTTTACATACATAACATACACCTACAATTGGGTGAAAGTACCATATTTTATAGTATAATTACTAATTACTACAAATAACTTACTTCTCCATGAATGTTGATGGCTTTCACCCACATGGGATCATAACTTTGGAACTCCCCACTGGCTGTCGTCCATTCTTTGCCCATTGATCCCACATAGAGTATATCATCCTTAATAGTTGCCCATTCCGACTTAAATCCCTTCTCAACATGACCATTGCCATCTGTCAATATAACCCATGGCAATACTTTGTTATCAACTATCTCAAACACCTGAAATAGATAAAGATCTCATTGTTTAACTTGCATAATACCTACATGACAAATACATCCAAATTGCATGTAATAGTTTTCTGAGATTAAGAAAGGCTTCAAGAAATTTGCTCATCATTAAAGTATGGTTCTTTGTTTGCTATGGAAAAGTTTAAAAAAAAATACTTTTTACCATTCCAGATCGATCATCAAAAGTAAGCAATCTTCCATCGTACACTATCAGTTCTGAGAGTTCCATCCCTCTTCCCTTGTGAGAGTATGTAGAGCTTAGTTGTGTTGGCTCTCGACTGTCCCATGTCACTTTAACAGACTTCTTCACACGATTGTAATACAAAAACCCTCTTTTTAAGTAACTTATGTATGTGTGCTTCTGTGTGTTGCTCTTTGAGTTTGTATCTAAGTCTGTAACTATTCCGATCCTGAATGTGACAACATCTCCACTATATAATGGTGAGGTAAGTGGATACGTTAAATTGTATGGTCGCACTGAACTGCCCCATTTATGAACTGCTGCTGGCTGGCTGCTTGTCCACCAATTGTAATAAAACAACACCACAAGGAATGCTCCTATCAAACCAATTAACAATACAAATTGTGGCTGAATCCTCACAGCATTACCGACCCTGTACGTG